TGTTTTAATATTTGATAAAAGTAGTCTTTTGTCTGGGTATTTAAAATAGAAATATTTTGAGCTGAATACTCAGAAATTTTTAACTACTTTTTAAGAAACATGCATTACTAGAACTTCTAATGATATATTGGAAACTAACTGAGGTCCCTTTAAAAAATTATTTTGCCAATGATAGAATTTCCGTGTTTTTTTTTTTCCATTTGCAACAAAATGGATGGAACTGGAAACCATTATATTTAGTGAAATAAGCCCGTCACAAAAGAACAAATACCATATGGTTTGTCTGATCTGTGGTAACTAATTGGTACTTAAAATATTATCTATAGGAGCGAAACTAACACTTTGAGATGCAACAACTTTGAACAGCCATTGCCTTGATTGTTCGGGAACAATGTTTTTCTTATTTGTTTGATTTTGTTGTTCTTTTTTTTCTTCATACCAATCAGTGAACTCTCTTCTTGGTGTAGGGTTAATCTTATGAGTATAAAAATTAGCTGAAAATTGATCTCTGTAAAAAAAAAAATAGAAAAGTAGGAGGGAGGAATAGTAAAGGTGGGATTATGGTGTAAGGAAGGTGTTGGGGGAAGAATCATGTTCTCAAATCTGTATATAGTGAATGCATGGAGTTATATTCCTTAAACAAAATTAAAAAAAGAAGGTGGATTAAAAGGAAACATTTTTTGCCTCTATTTTTTTAGTTTTAATTCACTACTAAAAATTATTAAATTCAGTATTGCTGGCCGGCGCCGCGGCTCACTAGGCTAATCCTCCGCCTAGCGGCGCCGGCACACCGGGTTCTAGTCCCGGTCGGGGTGCCGGATTCTGTCCCGGTTGCCCCTCTTCCAGGCCAGCTCTCTGCTGTGGCCAGGGAGTGCAGTGGAGGATGGCCCAAGTGCTTGGGCCCTGCACCCCATGGGAGACCAGGAGAAGCACCTGGCTCCTGGCTCCTGCCATCGGATCAGCGCGGTGTGCCGGCCGCAGCGGCCATTGGAGGGTGAACCAACGGCAAAGGAAGACCTTTCTCTCTCTCTCTCTCTCACTGTCCACTCTGCCTGTCAAAAAAAAAAAAAAAAATTCAGTATTGCTATGATACTAAGGATAGACGGGTCTTTCCAGAAATTTAAGATGGTATAAATCTGATTTCCTGATTTTTGTTGAAAGGTCATCTGAATACAGCTGTGTGCATGAAGATGGTGCCCAGTGATTTTTTTCACACTGTTTTTGTTATTGATTGTTGCCTTACTCTCATCTAACAATTCAGGCTTCTAGAAGGGCAACAATTAAACCTGATTAATTCTGCCTAATTCCTTTTTATATGTTATGAAACACATAAAACACAACAAACAAGGCTTTTAATCTGAGGTTTCTCTTTGTTTCTAGGTATGTTAATACATCTTTGAATAGGTGAAACCCAGTTGAGAAGTAGGCCCAATTTGTTTACATCAGGAAGCTAGCCAGAGAAAGAAATCCTTTCCTGTGGGCTTCTGGTATAGAAGGTTGTCTCTGCTTTAGGCTGGGTGCTGAGCTCAGAAGGGACTGATTGTCGCAGAAATGAAAGAATTGGATTCTCATTATGATCATTTCTGCAGAGCAACTGAGCACTGTGAATAGTTGTAATTCACTAGTCTGAATTTTTAAAAAAATATTTATTTATTTGAGAGGTAGAGTTACAGACAATGAGAGAGAGAGACAGAGAGAAAGGTCTTACTTCCATTGGTTTACTCCCCAATGGCCGCAATGGCCAGAGCTGTGCCAATCTGAAGCCAGGAGCTTCTTCTGGGTCTCCCATGCGGGTGCAGGAGCCCAAGCACTTGAGCCATCTTCTGCTGCTTTCCCAGGCCATAGCAGTGAGCTGGATTGGAAGAGAAGCAGCCGGGACTAGAACCTGGCACCCATATGGCATGCCAGCACTGCAGGTGGAGGATTAACCTACTGTGCCATGGCGCTGACCCCCACTAGTCTGAATATTAGATTTTGTTGCTTCAGACAAGAGAAAGAGTAAAGAGAGTTGTTAGATGTTGGTCTAGTAGAGTTATGACATTTTGATTTAGAGACGATGGTGACATCATATGGGGCTGATGTGGGTCAATTACATAAAATTTTGCAACCTTTTTTTTTTAAAAAAAAATATTTATTTATTTATGTGAAAGGAGAAAGAGAGAGTGAGTGAGAGAGAAAGTGAGAGCACTTCTACCTACTAGTTCACTCCCCAAATAACCACAACAACCAGGGCTGGGCCAGGCTGAAGCCCGGAGCCCAGACTGCATTCTGGTCTTCCATGTGGGTGGCAGGGTCCCAAAAGAAGCCTGCTGACTTCCAGGCTCATTAGTAGGGAGCTGGGTCAGAAGCAAAGCAGCCAGGATTGAAACTAGCACCTCTCTACAAGATGCGGGTATTACAAGTGGCAGTTTAACCCATTGTGACACAAATGCCAGCCCCATATATATATATATATAAGTTTATTTGAGAGGCAGAAGGTCAGACAGACAGCTCCCATCTGATAGTTCACTCCCAAATTGCCCACAGCACCCAGGGGATGACTGGGGCCAAAACTGGAAACCAGGATGCAATCCAGGTGTCTCATGTGGCAGGTAGGAACCCAACTACTTGAGCCATCTCTGCTGCCTCCAGTGTTTGCATTAGTGAGAGGCTGCAATTATGAGTCAGATTTGGGAATCAAGTCCAGGCAATCCATTGTGAGATGTGGGCATTTTGACTGCTGAGGCTAAACTCCTGCTCTCACAACTTTCGTTTTTATGGAATAAAAAGAAGTCTTTGGATAGAGGCTCCCCAACCCAACTTCCTTTCCTTTAAGTAGAGCCAGGTAAACAGTGCAAAATGACATACCCTTCATTTCATGCCTATATATATATATATATATATATATATTATACATTTATATATTATGTAGTAGTTAAAATAAGTTGTGTACATTATTTTTTTTTTTACAGGCAGAGTGGACAGTGAGAGAGAGAGACAGAGAGAAAGGTCTTCCTTTGCCGTTGGTTCACCCTCCAATGGCCACCGCAGCCGGCGCACTGCATCCGGTGTGCTGTGGCCGGCGCACCGCGCTGATCCGAAGGCAGGAGCCAGGTGCTTATCCTGGTCTCCCATGAGGGGCAGGGCCCAAGCACTTGGGCCATCCTCCACTGCACTCCCGGCCCATAGCAGAGAGCTGGCCTGGAAGAGGGGCAACCGGGACAGAATCCAGCGCCCCGACCGGGCCTAGAACCTGGTGTGCCAGCACCGCTAGGCGGAGGATTAGTCTATTGAGCCGTGGCGCCAGCAAGTTGTGTACATTATTAAAATAAGTCAGCATTATGACTCAGATTCCTGCTTGAGGGAATCAGATGAACAGAACAAAAGCACCACACATATGTTGCTTGGTTTTCACTCCTCTAAACACCTTTTTGGTTTTTTGGGCATTTGGTAAAGCAGTTAAAGTAGTGCTTGGGATGCCCACATCCCATATACTCAGTGCCTGGGTTCAAGTTGCATCTCTGCTTCTGAATCTTGCTTCATGTGGCCGATGATGTCTCAAGTATTTGGCTTCCTGCCACTCAATGTGGGAGACTTGGATTGACTTTCCTGCTTCCAGTTTTGGGCTGACCCTTGGCAGTGGGAGAGTGAACCAGCAGTTGGGAGATGACCCCCCCCCCTTAATTAACTAATTAATTAATTAATTTTAAAGGTGGAAAACAAGAGTAGGTGTTGTGGCGCACCGGGTTAGGCCACCATTTGGGGACATCCATGTTGTCGCATATTGGAGTGCATGGTTCAAGTTCCAGCTACTCCATGCTTCCCATCCAGCTTCCTGCTAATGCACACCAAGGGAGCCAGCAGATGATGATTCAAGTTCTTACGTTCCTGCTGCCTACGTGATAGATCTGGATTGTGTTCCAGGCTTTTAGCTTCAGCCTGGCCCAGCCCTGACTGTTGCAGTCATTTGGGGAGTGAACCAGTAGATGGAAGATCAATCTCTCTGTCTCTCTCTCTCTTGTTTTCTCTGCCTTTCAAATAAATTAAAAAAAATTGTAAAAGGTGTAAAATAGGGGACAGTGCTGTGGTGCAACACAGCTGTTTGAAGCCCCGGCCTGCCCCACTGGCATCCCATATGGGTGCCAGTTCAAGTCCCATCTGCTCCACTTTGGATCCAGCTCCCTGCCAATGCACCTGGGAAAGCAGTGGAAGATGGCCCAAGTCCTTAGCCTCTGCACCCGCTTGGGAGACCCATAAGAAGCTCCTGGCTTTGGATTGGCCAGCTCGTGCTGTTGTGGCCATTTGGGGAGTGAACCAGCAAATGGAAGATCTCTCTCTCTATCTCTCTGTAACTGTCTTTCGAATAAATAAAATAAGTCTTAAAAGAAACAACAAAAAGGTGGAAAATAGTATCTCAAGTTAGCCTCAGTTTTTTTTTTTTTCGTTTGTGGTTATGATAAATAAATTAAATATCTTCAGCTTACAAAGGAAGCGTAAAATTTGTCCTAGTCAGAAGACAAATTAAGACGAAGTCTGACATTTGTGGATGACTAGATAACAGAGGTAGACACACGATGAATGTTGTTGCTGGCATTTGGGGAATAAACCAGTGGATGATAGTTACTCCCCACCCTGTCTGTGTCTCTGTCTCTCTGCCTTCCAAATAAGTATTAAAATAAAAAACCTTTCTGACTAGACTCATGTTACCAAGTCTTCTCAATGTGTTTTTGCTTTATGGCAGGTGGAATTAATCTAGTCAGTGCCTTCTTGTTTCATATTGTGACAAAAAATAGAACATAGCACATGTGGGATTTATGTTCTGGACAGCGGGTGAGATCGAGACTGTGAGCTTCTTCCTAGTCTTCTTACTCTTAGATACTCAAGTATATGACGTGTTCTGCAAGAGGTTCAGAAGACTTGTTGGTGTTCGAAATAGAATAAAACTTTGTACTGTCCTTGCTTGTTTGATCCATCAAGTGTGTATGATTGATTTTCTTGCAACTTACTGTGTCTTCTTTTAGGATGGCTCGAACCTCACGGCCAGCCAGAGGGCCTATGCTCCTGAGCAGCTGCAGAAACAGGACAATTTAACCATTGACACCCAGTACTATTTGGCCCAGCAGATCCACCCAGTTGTGGCGCGAATCTGTGAGCCAATAGATGGAATTGATGCTGTGCTTATTGCCACCTGGTTAGGTAAGTTTCCCAAGCTCACACAGACCCTCCAGGAACAGCAGCATGTGTAGACCTCCTTCGACTTTCAGGATCCCTGTTTATGAGCACAGAATTGTGTCTGGCACTTCTTCATATTTATACAGGATTTTTAACATAAAAAAATTAATTGTTAATTATTTGATTCTCTCTGAATATTGTACTTAAATTCTTTTGAAACTAGACTTGCTATTATCTTCTTAAGACTTGGCTTCCTTCTAATTTCTCATCACCCCGTGAAGTACTAGCCAATCCTGAGGCTTCAGTGTTTCTTTGACTTTTTGCTATTTCCTAATGATCATTGTCATCTGTTGCTTAGAAGTATATTTCATAATCAGCCATGATTTCGTTTCTAGATAGCTAACATATAAACAGATACATTGGTTCTAAGATCTCTTGGCTGTTTTCTCTTGTAAGCAAATATGAGAAGACTTCCTAATAAAACTCTTGATTACTACTGTCTATAAGTCATGTCCCAATGCTGTTAGCATCTCATTGACTGACTTTGTCAATTACAGACTAACTCTAGCCTTATTTCTTCATTCATCTCTCCATGTCACCTAAATATGGCACTGCTCATTCTGTCCCTGCTTATGGAAAATTCTCCTTCCCCTTTTAGGAAAAATCTGGCTTAAGCCCTGGCTGTGGCATCCCAGGGTTGTGGGTTTCATTTCTTGTTCTGATATTCCCAACCCTTCAATCATTTGTCTACACTCGGTTCCTTGAGTCACAGTTAGAGTTGTCCTGGGGGAAAACGAGGTGATGAGTGAGATGCTCAGCACAGCGCCTGGGGCCTAGAGTGTCCAGGTGGTAATAGCCGCCTCCCTCCCTCCAGTCAGGCTTCAATAGAAATATATCCATACTCTACAGACCATGGGGTTTGCACATAGGGCTCAGTATGCTATGCATTTGCGGAATGAGATTGAATTTTCCACAGATGTTTATCAAGTCATTTATTTTCCATTCTGTCCCTCTTGTGTAGGTTTCTGAGGTGCTCCCTGCCACCCCCATCCCCACTACCCCATCAGTGCCTGCTCTGGAAGTGGCAACTCGTTTTTGACGTTTGCCTAAGCAGAATGTAATTAGAGAGATAAAATTCTGCTACTGAAATAATCATAATGATGTATTCTCTAAGTTGAGTTGTATTTATAAATCCTTAGCTCAGAGGAGGGGCCCGTTAAGGTGCTGTATCTTTGAGCTTCATTTTTCCCTCCTCTCTTGTACATTGCAAGCTTACTCTGTTGGATGCTCTGTTACTTTGCATGTTACCTCATTCAATCCTTGCAACAACCTCACGAGGATATGTTGTATTAGCTCCATTGTACAGACAGGGAAGCCCATTCTTTGAGCTTGGTCTTTTCACATAGGTAGTAAGTGGCTGTGATTGGATTTTTACCCAACTGTGTGATTCCTAAGGCTGCGCTTTTAACCACTGTGCTAAGCTTTCTTGCCTCCTCGCAGCACACAGAGGCTGTCAAAGAGATTCTCAACCTGGAGGGGGATGGTGTGGACGGGCAAGCATGTGGATCTTTATCTTCATGTTCACTTCCCACAGTGCACCCCCACATACCACCACTGAAAATCACTGTGGAGAAACAAGTTTTTTTTAAAGAGTGAAACTCTCAGTTTTTCCCATCTGTTTCATCACAAGTCTGATCTAAAGATAAACCATTGCCCTGGCCTTGCTTCATTTTGACTTTTCCATTGGCCAGCACTGATAGGGGACAGATGGTACAAGCCCCATGTTGTGAGTGGCATTTAAGAGAGAAAAGTGTAGAACCTTGTATCTTAGCCAAGAAGCCAGACAACAAAGGCAATAAAGGGTGATAGGAACCTGCGTGGGTGCAGAGGCCTGATGCCCATTCAGGTACGTTAAGCCCGGGTCATACCAAGAGGGGCTAGACTGATTTTCTTGCTTCCAAAACTCATAGCTAAAATGATTTTTGTTCATAAGCACTGGGAATATTTTGTTTTGCTTAGAGAGGTTTTATCGTAATTGCAGTTACCTTAGTGTCATAGACTGCCTTGTGGAACCAGTTTCACAAATTCCTTGCAAAGCCAGTTGTGTAGGAGTGGGTCCTGCCTCTCAGAAGTTCTATGCTGTCTCGATCTAGTCTACAGAGGCAGTCCCCACAGGCTTGCCTGTGATGCCACCATGTATGCATCTCTCCTACCCCACATCTGGAAGCTCTTAAGGCATAGCTGGGCTTTGTGGCTACTGTTCTGGCGAGCCTCTGCTGGTGCCTTGTAGCCTAGATAGGCCTGTGACTTCAGCCTTGGAGTGGCTACTGCTGTACCCCTGTGCAACTGCTTTTCATCATTTTTGTCTTCTGCTACTGATTGCAGTTTTTACACTGAGAGTATCTGAAATTGTCATCCTTATGTAGTCCCCCTCCTCCCCTGCTCATCCTCTTCTCCCACCCTGCTGCCCGCCAGCACCAGCAGTATATACATATCTATGCACATTAGTTAAAAATCTTTTATTCTTTTGTCTCTCCCTGTTTTCTCATAGGAGGCTCAACATTAATGAAATGCAGGCCTAGAAGTGCCCATCATGATCTGTGGGAAACATTGAAGCTTGCCAGGCAGATCTCTGCAGGCATTTGCCCCCTGCCCTATCCAAGAGCTGGGTTTTTATCTGCACCCTTCAGTCCTCCATTCCAAGTGAAAAATTCGGGTGACTGTTCACTAGGGGCTTCAAGCCCCTCGTTATCAGTTCTCTGGAAGCCTGTGGTTTTAGAGAGGAGGAGGGAGGAGATGGGGAAGTGGTAGCAAAGTAAGGGGAGTATTAGTGGGTACGTGATTTCTAAGAGGTGCAAGCTGTAGGCATAAAATTACTGTAATTTGTTTTTAAAATTCCAAATCTGTTTTCTTTATATAAAAAACTGCAGTTAGTGAACTGACACTGTTAAATAAGTTGAAGTGTACAAATGTATACATAAAATACAAGCCCTCCAACTGCCTAATAACAGACATAAAATAATTCTCTTGCTTTTAATGTAGTTTTTATCTTTGATTAATGAAATGTATTGCAGTATTGAAACTTTAGTGAAGTTTGATACTTTGTCCTTTTAGTTAGCACAATGAAATCCGGAATAATGGCATAATTTCATTTAGGAAAATTATAAAGTTCATGATTTTTTATTTTTAAAACTCTTTTGTGGAGAGCAACTATATTTTTCAACTACCTTTTTCTTTTCCTATTGCTTTTATACTGCTTTCCTTGAAGTGAAAGGCAAGCATCAAGTGTTGGTTTTATCCTGTGGCTTCACTTTGGAAATTCTCTATTTCTCCCTGTCAGGATGCCTCCTGAAGTCTGTCTGGTGGCATGTTGCACAACCTGGTGTTTCAAATGGGAAGGACATTTTAATGAAAAGGAGAGAGGATAGTCTGTTAAATGAGGGAATGAATAAGTCTGTTGAATTGAAAGAGAATAATTTGTTCTCTCTAATAACTAATGGTCCTCATTATCCCACAGTGAAATGTGTATCATTTTTCTGAAACCCATGCACGAATATTGCTATTGGGCTTAAATAAAGCCAAATTTTACTCTTTTCCATCTGTGAATAGGAAAAAAATACAGTATTACTCTTCTTATACAATAGCCCAATGGGAAACATGGCCACTAAAACTTGGAACTCTTAGCTTTTGTTCCCCAGACTATAGGTTTTTCTCTCTCTTGTTCTAATAAAAGTTCTCTATAGTCTCTGGATGGAATATTCACAGTATGCTCAACCATCCAAAGAGTCTTCTAACCTGGCAAACCAGACCAGTGATGAGACTAGTCTAAAGTTCATTCTTGAATTTTATCATTTAATAAATTCCTATTTTGTGCATAGTAATACTTAGGATTTTATACAATATCTTTCTTCCAATGAGTATATGAGTAGTGATTTGTATCCATAGTTATAAATTACATTTCTTTTTTTAATAAATTACATTTCAATAGTTAGTGGTAAAATTTCAGGCATTTGGCTATCTGGGCAGTTTTTTTCATTGGTCCTGAGAAATCGTATTCCTGGGTTAAATTACAAAGTGAAAATTTCCTTTCTAAAAATTATTAAGGGCCAGTCTTGCGGTGCAGCGGGTTAAGCCACCACCTGTGATGCTGGCATCCCATATTAGAGCACCAGTTTGTTTCTCCTGCTGCTCTACTTCCCATCCAGCTTCCTGCTAATGTGCCTGAGAAGGCAGCAGGTGATAACCCAAGTACCTGGGCCCCTGCCGCCCACGTGGGTGACCTGGTTAGAGTTGCGGGCTCCTGTCTTTAGCCTGGCCCAGTCCTGGCTGTTGAGACTATTTACGGAGTATTCCAGCACATGGACGATCTTTGTCTCTCTCCCTCTCTCTCTGTCACTCTGCCTTTCAATTAAATTAAATTAAATAAATCTTGAAAACACAATACCCACACCATTCATGTTACAGATGGTAGTTTTTGTCAGTAGACAAGGTCCTGTGTTACTCTCTAAGAAGTAAGTGTATCTAACAGTGTGCTAACCAATATTTGGGAGTTCTTTTGAAAGATCTGCGAATATACACCTACAAAAAAATAGTGGAGGGGAGAGAGTAGAATGATGCCACCAGCAGATGCCTCAGATATTTGTCAGTAAAGACTTGGGCCTTTTTTCATTATTAGGTTCTTAAAAGAATATACATCCATAAATGTCTCTTCCAATTCTTAAATCTCTTATAGCATAGTCAGTAGTAAAATTGAAGACTGGCACTGTGGCATAGTAGGTTAATCCTTCACCTGCAGTGCCAGCTCCCATATGAGCACCGGTTCCTGTTCCAGCTGCCCCACTACCGATCGAGCTCTCTGCTAGGGCCTGGGAAAGCAGTAGAAGATGGCCCAAGTGCTTGGGTCCCTGCACCCACGTGGGAGACCTAGAAGGAACTCCTGGCTCCTGGCTTCTGATCAGCATAGCTCCAGCTGTTGCAGCCACTTGGCGAGTGAACCAGTGAATGGAAGACCTCTCTCTCTCTCT